TTTGTTGGATATTGTGAATTCTAATGACATAAGTTAGAATGGTTATCTTTAAAAACATGCAATGATCGTAATAGTACATCATGTTGAGATATATAGAATAGACATTGGCCAAACAATTGGTAGCCAAGAGGTTTGGGCGATATGTTTGGTGTCATCCATACATTTCCGACTTCAAGGAAGGATTTAGTATTCCGGCAAATAAATATAAAAATGAAAGGTAAGTTTTACAAGTCATATGAAACAAGTTTCTTGAAATTATGATATTAAGGAAATAATTGAAGCAATGCATGTATATATACTAAACAAAGTTCTCTATGCACGATTTTTTTTATATTTATCACGAATGCATAGCACGTAATCGGCAAAAAATATTTCGTTCAGTGAAAAATTTCCTTGCTATTTAACTTTCGTATTTTATTTCCAAAGTTTAACGAGCGTGACATTCAGATTACAATCACCACAGAATCGTGGAGCACATGAAAAAAGATTGAGACTATAGACATGCAATAAAACGCAATGCTACATTTTGTACATTTTCTATTTGTTAATAAAACTTTGTCATAGAAGTTGTTAAATAATTTTGTGTATTAAAATTGTTATTTCATAATCAATTAACACTTTTAAAATCCACGTTTGTTTACCTTCTTTTTGATCATGGATTTTCTCTCGCACTTGCGATGTAATAAAGAGTGGTCAGGTGGCTATGGTCACTTCATATGGAAAAGCTATCGGCGAATTAGAGTACGGGAAGATAATAATTTTATAGCAGTACAATTTTGAAGATTTTGATAAGATAAAGTAGTGTCTTTAAAAAACCCATGAACACTTGTTTTATAGGTGAAATCAGCTATTCCAATTTGTTTTTAAGTTTTTAAGTATCATATGACTTTATATTTATTCCATTATTGAACAGAAATGCGTAAATTAGACTATTCGATATAATTAAATTTAGCACACTCAAGAAAACAGTTGATTATAATTTGATGACTCCATGTCAGGGACAGTGTTGATTCTACAAAAAGTCTGTCGTCACAGCAATAATTTGGCATTTGTTCTATAACTGCGTACAGGTGGAGAGAACTTTAAATAACAAGATCAAAGTTTTGAATGAAGTATGTATTTATTAAAACTATACATAGGCGCAATGATGCACCTAGCTTTGACCTTAAGATTGCATGCATTTGCTTCCGTTCACAATTTACCTAGACATATAAAACACTATTGTATTAGATGTCTCTGCCATTACTTTGTCTTTTTTAAACCTATGTTTCAAATTCTTGCTTTACATTATTTCCTAATAGCAATAACAATTTATTAACGGGTACCTTTTAATTCGAAATGTACCAAAATGAATAAATAATGAACGGCCATGGAGTCATAATTTACAGAATGGGGGAATAATTTACTATGATCGAGCAATCCTCATATTAATGATTAAAAGTATCCGAAATGAATTACCATTAAAGTGTAATTGACCGAAATGTATAGACAAAAGTCTTTCTATTTTATTAATGTTAATATTGATTTACTGATTTACTTCTCCCGTCACTGAATTTTGAAAACATTTGGATTGCTCTAGTGTTTTAAAATTTGATTGCAAGAAACTAAATCAATTATGAAAGGTATGCGAAAAATGATGGTGTACTTTTTTAATAGCGCGGAAATTTCATCCATTTAATAAGACATTGAACAAAATCTACAAAAACATATAACTTTTATTTTATATTATTTAAATTATAACTCAAGTGGACAACACGTCAAGCAGTTAATTCTGACTTTATATAGAATTTATATACTGAAGATTTTTTTAAGAGAAAACGTCCGGAAATTGACATTTCATTCAATAGCAAAATGTCGAAATGTATTTCTACAAATTGCCAACAAATGGAGATCATGTTTTTCTTTGACTGATAATGACTTCGTTCTACTAAATCCATTAGAAGTTGGAAATGTAGTGATTGATATTTCAGTCTGGATATTGGCTGTGAACTAGCTTTCTGTTACTGCGAGAAATCTCAAATCTATGTTTTGTGTTTTCTTTTTGATCTTGTTCAATAGTTGTTTTTGGTTTGTATCGATTTGATGCGTTAAGCCCGTTTCAACTGATTTTTAAAGTTTGTTCTTAAATAGTGAAGTTTATCACTGTCCCAAGTAAGGGGATGGTTTGAGCGCCAGGAAACATGTTTAACCCCACCACATTTTGTATGTTCCTGTTCCAAGTCTAGAGCCTTTAATTAAATGGTTTTCGTTTGTTGCTGTATATCATATTTGTTTTTTGTTAATCGTTTTTTTTAAATACATCAGGCCGTTATTTTCTCGTTCAAAATGTTTAACATTAGACCTATCGGGGGGTTTTATAGCTTGCTATGCGGTATGAGTTTTGGACAATGTTGGAGGCGCCATACGATGACCTATAGTTGCTAGCCTTCTGTGTCATTTTTAATATTGTGGTGAAATGTGTCTTAGGCAATCAAACTACATCTTATTCCTATATGACAATGAATTACCTATATCCCAATATGATATGTCCGTTCCGAAATAAATAATGAGAGAGTGCATCGGTCTCAGTTTTAAAGAGACCCATGGATAAGAAAAGAAAAATATAAAAAACTAAATATATCTCCCTACATCAGCTGCATTCGGGATTGTGAGGTAGTATCTTCCATTAACTGCTTTGGGTATGGAATACTGGTACACAGCAAATGTATTTTGGTAATGCACATCGGAGGATTTTACCGGAAAATTGGCTACACGTGGACCCAGGTTCTACTGTAAGATTTGAGGCTTGGAAGGGGGAAAATTACATGAAGCATATTCCTACTTAGGTGACTAAAATGAAGCGTATGCTTGTCGGCGATATAAAGTATTCTCGATTTGCAAATTTATTTACAGTTAACATGTGTCATTTCATCATAACAACATAAATTTTAACTACGCCTTTCTATTTATCACTATACATTTTCCTTGCCATATCTGAAAATATCTGTTTTTAAAATCGCTAGGATCTCCATGAACCAGTAGCTCGTACTTAATATTGTGATTTTGAATAAATGTTTTGATGCAACATTTAAACTTTAACTTTTGTATATTGAATACCTGTTAAATGATTAAGGCAATTTGATTGTTTGTTTATTTCGGTGTGTTTACTAGTATCCAATACCACATCATATTTTTATTATATCAGAAAAACAGCATCAAAATACAACTTGAGACATTTCACATAATAGTTAGTGATTACTATGATGGCTGCTGGTATTGTTTTACTGATCCGAGAAGTAAAAAAAAATAGTAAGATGAAAAAGAAACTGTTTAAAAAAATCTGTTAATCAAATCAATAAGAATTCTAGAGAAGGACTTATAAATATAGTCATATTTATGACTAAAACCATTCCGTACTGATGTGCAATACGTTTTTATTATTTCGCAAGAATGATTTAGCTTTACATCAACAACTATAAAATGGAAAAAAGAAGAGTATTATTCTGACACAAAATATTTCAATTTGTTATATATGTATGACTTTTCACATTCATTGGCAAAGTCTGTAAGAATATCTGAACGACACAAAATCTATTTACAAAGGGGTTTGTGACATATCGTTACACTGCATTTGGTTATTTGCAGCACCCGATATGTATGAAACTGATTTCTTTTAATTCGGCTACTCAGACAATATTTTGTTAATTTTAAAATGACATTATTCAAATTAGATAGTGTCATATTCAAACCGTTTGAACTCTTAAGATCAAGATGAGATCAACTATTCGCGTGAAAACCTCTAAATTGAATTAATCATTTAAAGTAATTTTATATTCTTTGAAAAGTTTTTGGTAATATTGTGTTTTATGATTAATAAGTTTCGACATGACAATACATTAATTTTACAAATACTAATCTTATCTTGGCGGCTTAATAATTATAGTATTAATAAGTCTGACACTCCTTCATTGCTCATTACAAAGAAACGTGTCTTGATGTGATATTTTTGCGGCTAAATTTATTTAAATATATATCTATCTATATCCAGTGTCATTATGTTTACTGATTTAAAGAAAGTTTTCAAAACAATAAACATGATATGATCATTATTGTACGCACAACATACATCAATAACGTTCTCCAAAAGTTTCAAAGTTCTTAAACATTTACAACCAAAATGTTGATTGTTTTCCAATCATTTGACTTTACATGTTACATATTGTTAAGAGTATATATTTAATTTAAAGCAATCATGAGATTTGGCTCTCCAATATGTTGTTATGAGTGTACCATTTTTGCTAGGGGCGTTTTTGACTTGTAATGGGTTGAGAGATTTTGCTCCATTTTGAAGGCAAACTTTTGATTTATTTTGTTTTTATGTTTAACACTATGTTCGTATTTTTTTTTATTGAATTCAAGCATAAACTTACAAAGGCCAGTTTAAACAAAACTATTTATCGTGCTATACAATGTGAGTCTTGATAGACTGGTTTTATATAAAGGCTAGTAAGTTTTGTTTAATATACTGTTCATACTTTTCAGTCAATAAAGTGGGACATGAACGGTATAGAAATAGGTCACTTTTAAGTGTTTTCTGTCCTTGATTTCTTCTGCAGAAGTGATCTGATGATAAAAAAAAAGGAATAAAATGTTTTGGGCTGAATCATTACATAATAGTTTTAAAATAGTTTGACATTTGTGATATTTGATTACTGTTAGCTGCAATTGTTAATAGCGCAAATATGAAAGTAATTATGTAACCGTGTTTCAGAAATACAAAGTTTTACAAAGAATTGACAGTTTTGAGAATTGTGAAATACTCTTAAGGTACTTGCGTATAAAATCCTTTGTATGAGCAAATTTGATTCGTGGAATTTTAAGGACGGTCTACCCTTGCTTTAATAAAATTTAAAACTGACTGATTTATCAACCAATCAATTTGGCAATACGTCACCATGTGTTGTTAAAAAGAACATATAAAACAACAGACGCGTACCATCGAGACATCGATGCAAGTTTGGCTAACCAAATGAAAGATATCAGCTTTTAATCATAATGTGTTTTCCTTCGACATTTTTGTTTACTTGTTTATTATACTTGGTAGAAAGCAGTCATTTTCGTGGGGGCATTATATCATGGAAGCCAGCAGAAAATAATCAGGTGAGAGATTCAAATTTTTCATGAAACACTAATAAAAAATGTATAGTTTTTGTATATAAAGAGTATGTTTACAAATATGATAAAAAAAAATAATTAAAATTATATAAAAAAACAGCTTGAATAAAAGTTTAGGAAATTACGTAATTGTATACTTTGTAATTGCAAATTTTTGTCTTGCCCTCAGCTGGATTTGAACCCATGCTTTTGTTCCACCGTGACAACTCTGTCTTCACGATGTCCATCGAACTAGACAATTCGACTCATTATGCTTTATAAAATTCAGCTTTCATTAGTCGAATGGTGCCTTTCATCGTCGGCTTTATCTACGGTTGTAACACGAAGTTGGAATACGTTACAGAACAGCTATGTTTTGTCAGTCGCAAAGGATAATATAACAGTATTTATGTTTCCAGATAGCTTATAAATTAAAACTTTTTGAACTTTTTAAATGTAAAGCTGGCTTGTAAAACCCCGGACAAAATACACATTCTACATAAATTTTGATTTCTCTAATATCCATACACAGAATTTTCTTAAAAATAATATGGTATTTCTCTGAGCATCCGTTTAAATTATATATGGGATCACAGGATGCATACTGCAAACACAAAATATTTGTCCAGATATGAAGAATGAAGGAAAAGTCAAATTGACAAAATGAACGTAACGACGTGACGGCAATTCTCTCGCTGCAAAATCGTAGATTTTCATACATTTCTGAGACTATAATGATTTAAACAGCAAAAACGAATCCGGTGACCCTGAATATTTTCCTATTATTTACGCGAAAATGTTTACAGCAATAGAAGAGGGACGAAAGATACCAGAGGGACAGTCAAACTCATAGATCGAAAACAAACTGACAACGCCATGGCCAAATATAAAAATACAAACAGACAAATAATAGTACAGATGACACAACATAGAAAACTAAAGAATAGGCAACACGTCCCCACCAAAAACTGGGGGTGATCTTAGGTGCTCCGGAAGGGTAAGCAGATCCTACTCCACATGTGGCACCCGTCGTGTTGCTTGTGTTATTAAAAATCCGGTAAATAGTCTAATTCGGTAGGTCATATTCGTGAAAAGGGAAGGGTATTGTAGTTACGACATAAGGAACATATCCGATATCATCTGTGAAACGGTTATTCCATAACGGTCAACCAACTCGTGATGGCGTCCGTAAAATTTACGAAGGGATGATTTCAACTTCACCATTTGGAACTCTTGGTTTAATAGCTTCCTTTTGAGCAGCAATCCTCTATCAAGGAAATCATGATAGGAAATGCAAGCCCGAAAATATCGTATCAATTGAGAGATATATACTCCGTATGCAGGCGCTGCTGGAATGTTGCTACATAGAAATGGAAAGTTCACAATTGGGAAGCTGAAATCATCTCTTTTGTCGTAAAGTTTTGTTTTCAACCGACCCTCATTGTCAATGTCTAGATGTAAGTCAAGATATGAGGCAGACTTAACTGTATCTGTAGTATCCTTTATCTCTAGTTCGATGAGATAGATTTGTTCAACATAGTCATAGAATATCACATATAAACCAATTCTGTGGACGAAAGTTAGAGAAATCGCAAATTCAAAAATTAAACATTAAATATCTACATTGTCCTGTACTTAGTTGACATTTATAAATAAAAGATAAGGCGATGTGGTGCGATTGACATGTGACAATTTTCCACCAAGGTCTAATATGTCTAAATGACTTGCACGTTGATATGTAGCTCACTGTACGGTTTTCACTAATGAGCAAACCCAAACTGTATAGCCATATATCACAAGCCTCGACATGACAAATATGTGAAACATTTAAAATGACATTGATGACAAATCAATTAACGAAAAACAAATATGACAAAGAGCACCGAACGAAAAAAAATAGGACAAAAAGCAACCAACGACAACCACTGAATTACAGCATCCTGGCTTGGTACATGCATATAAAAACCCCTCCTCTTACCTTGGACAGGTGGTGTAAACGCAATCATAAGAACAAACTTTGAAGCTCAGTTGAAAATAGTCTGATTAATCGGAAAGGCACGATGCATAAAAAATGAACTAACATAAAGACAACAGGAAAAAATCCGATCTAAGATTACCTCTGGTTACTGAAACCTTGTTCAAATTTAATTACAACTAATAAGTGAATCATTATCTCCCACACTAGAATATCAATAATACACATCAAACGGACCTAGTGTAAAGACTCATAAACAGTCTGAGAAAGGCAAAACTTTTTTTAAGTACATAGTATCGAAAAGAAGTAGGACAATAAGTTTTCATAATTGTATAGAATGGAATATTTTACTTTTGTTTAAGTGTAAAATCATAAAAAAATGTTAGTGCCAATAAAACAACATCCATTCAGGAAAGTGAATAAAATTTCTTTCCTACGGTATTGTTTCTAATTTTATAGCATTTACTTATGTGTTTTTTTTTTATCTTTTCTAACGTTTTTATAGAGTTGATGTTTTATTTTTCTGAACTGGTTTTAAATGTACGTTCGTTTATGTACCTTTCTTAATTTCGCTGATAGGGATTAAAAGGAACAGGTTTCGATATTTAAAACTATTTGATCCACGCGGCATGTCAATGTGTGTTTTTTCAAATCAGAAGTTTTGTCAGTTATATCTCAATGGTTTTTATTTGTCAATGAGGAATTTGGTTTCGAAGGCAGATCTGTGACAACGTGAATAGACTTGTGGCGATTCAGATCATGAAACAGCATATCGACACATAGTTTATCTTTAATTTGGTCTTTTAAACTTTTTTGATGTGAGTGTCACTGATGAGTCTTTTTTTCAAGACGAAACGCACCTTTGGGGTAAACAATTTTAAACGTGGTATCTTCTATTGTAGAAAACGTCATAATGACCTTTAGATTTCTTTATTTTGTAATTTGGTTGCTGTCACATTTACTTATTGTCTAATTTTTTTTTATTCGTATTCCAGATAGAGCTTAACTATAGAGTTGCCTTCCGTGCAAGTTCTGGACACACGTGCGATGCAAACACAATAAGGAACGGAACATTGCTATCTGGCGAAGGCTCTTTACAGTGTGTAGAAGGATGCAGTGATACAATTACTACTATGTCTTATTACTGCACTGACTTTAGTGAAACTGAAGATTGGACCTCAGGAACCAATAGCATCAAGTACAATCTGTCAGCGTCAAGTAACAATCTTTATACTTTTGGGTAAGTTTTTGCAATTCATCGAAAACGATAGGAAACGAGAAAATGCCCTCGAAAAGACCACCTTAAATATTCAATAGAAATTCATACAAAATTAATGCTTAAAATGTAATTATGTAGAAATGTTATTTGTCGCTACTTATTACATCACATACAGGGCTATTTATTAAAGATTATCGGACTATGAGTCGACAAAATTTAAAACTTTTTGATTATAAAGCATCACTTTGAGAAATAATAAATTCCCAAAAATGGCTATAAAAGTATTTTATTCAAATGATATTTTCAATGACATGATTAACAGGTCTGTTTTTCAGGGTTAGTTAATTAAACATGAATGCCTGTAAATACTGTCCGTTTATAAAGCAACGTTTTGGACACTATCAGTTTATGATTCCCAAGACTAACTATGCAGTTACATGTCTGATAACGTAATAACCAATTCAGACTTGAACTATGATTAGATTTAAAGGGAACCTGATTATGAGAAAAAATTTCTTTATTATTTTGGGTTATTTTTATTGATTGTTTTCTGTACAAACTACACAATATTCTCTATATATAGATTCCGCCACTGCAACAAGTGTGTTACGATAATACTCCACTCGAGACTGTTATATTTTAATATTTAAAGCTAGAGGCTTTCCGAGCTTTTTAAACAATTTAAATTTAACTGTTGCGGGTGGAGAAATATCGTAATACAAGAGTTATAGTGATGAATTCGGTATCACTGATAATTTGTATCCTTCCTTTTCAAAGATTTTCAGAAAGCTGGGTTCTTTATAAATGACGTCATCAGGTATGGTCGCCTTTTTTCATGACGTCACAATAGAAAATTGAGAAGAAACAAAGAACATTTGACGTCAAAATTAAATTTCGACCAATCATTGGCCGAGAACAGTTATTTCACAAGTGAAGAAACAATTTTTTTCACAATCGGTTGTGAAATGTGAAAATAGTGAACCAATCAGAGAATCTCTCGTCCCAATCCAGACCCGCAAAAAACAAAACCATTTTCTTTTTTTTTTAACGTTACAATATCTTTATTGCATATTTGCTGTAACAACTAACTAAGTTTACAGCTTATAACTTTGTTCCGTTTGTGTCGTCAAGTGAATTGGATATTTTGTGGTATGTATAATTAGTCAATATGTATATTAACATGAATGTTGATATCGTTAAAATGTTTCGACCAGATTTTTTAACGGAGTATATATAAATTAAGTCCTAAAAAATCTATTTTTTTTTCTTTAAAGATTTTCAAGCTGTTGTTGGATATCTCTAGTTGAAGGCGGTTCAGACTGGAGGATGCTGACTACAGCAAATCTGACCGTAAGACAAGACACTGGAAAAATAAATTCCTCTCCAATCTCTGCGATGCAGCCTATAGTAAGATTCAGTTGTGGATGTGACTATACACTTAAAATACCGGGTAGGTTACTGTTTTGGGGGCCTTTTAAATTTTGTTTTACTCGAGCGTCGCTGATGAGTCTTTTGTACACGAAACGCGTGTTTGGCGCAAATACGAAATTCCAATCCTGATATCTATGATGAGTTTATTTACAACCACTGGGTCAATGCCACTGCTGATGGAGTTTTATTCCCCGAGGGTATCATCAGCCCAGTAGTCAGCACTTCTGTGTTGACATGAATTATCATTGATATAGTCATAATTATAAATTAACAGTTTACAAAACTTAGAATTTTTGAAATAATATTGCTTTTCTACGTCAGGAACAGATTACCTTAGCTGTATTTGGCAAAACTTTTAGGAATTTTTGGTCCTCAATGCTCTTCAACTTCGTACTTTATTTTGCCTTTTAAACTTATTTTTATTCGAGCGTCACTGATGAGTCTTTTGTAGACGAAACGCACGTCTGGCGCCAATACAAAATTTCAATCCTGGTGTCTATGATGAATTTATTTATTCGGAGGTATTTCGTATTTTTTTAAGAAAGTGTGTATGCTATTCTTTGTAGCATTTACATTTTAAGAGATATGATCAACTACAAATTGCTGTAATAGAGGTATTAATGCATTGACTACACGTAAAAAACGTCACAAGATGGATTTGTTCGTTAACAAAATAGATCGAATTTAGAAAAGAGTTTTGTCCTTAAAACTGTGTTTGGTGTCTAAATAATTTTAGTTTGAGTACTGTTTGACAAACAAATCATAAAAAAGCTAGAATTGTACAGCGTGACGACGTCAAGACGTATGGCTATATTTTGTTCTTTTGGACCTTTTTACTATTTTTGACGACTCTATCTGAAATTAACTTACAAGTAACTCATTCAAGATTTCAAGAAATCGCAATTTAAACTGAAAAAAATCATTTTACTGCGACATTTCCGTTTCATAATTGTGTATGTGGTTATATTTTCGAAAGTAAAATTGCCAACTATATATTTCTTTTGGATAATAATATGCAGTTCTAACTAGACTAACTACATGTCACGAAAATCCGAAATATCCCGAAATTACGTAAGCTTCGGCACATTGTAATATTAACATTAAATACTAGTATTAATGATTGCACATTTAGTAGGGAAGATTTAACATAAACAACCAATCAATGCATAATAAAATTTAAGGAAAAATTAATTATTACACCTACTGATTTGTTTTTACTACAGTCAGGTAGGACTAAAATTTATCGCACCATTTATTGATCCTTCATAAACTCAAATGTACGAGGGCTACAGCGAGGGTTTTTTCGACCTATCACTCAAAATATAAAAATAAAAATTTCGAACAAGTTTACAACAAAAACTAAAATACATGCAGCATAATATTGATATTAATTTTGTAGTCTCTGATGATGATGATGGTGATGTTGTGAAGTGTCGATGGTCTACACAAACCCCAAATGATGAATGCGGTGGTGTTTGTGAAACACTGAGTGGTTCTTATTTAGATGAAGTAATTATATATGAAATGTAGATGAGTACACATACAAATGATATCAAAAGTTGCGAAAAATAGTAGAACACGGAAAAAACCCTTACATTGGCTTAATAAACTTTATTCGTTGATTTTCAGTATTGTTGCACTTAGCTGAATATAAAAAGAAGAAACTTGAGGTGAAAATGTGACGCAATAAGAACAATATAGGAAAACTAAACTTTAATGTTATTTCAGGTGCCTTTCTATCAAAAAAGTCAAAGTATAGAATGTAGTGGATCGACAGAATGTTTTCTTTATGTTTCATCCAAAGAGTCTCTTATGACACTCACTTAAACAGAAACAGTTTTTTGATAAATTTAACATCAGATATACAAATAAGAAAAGTATACGGAGCATACATTGGAAAAACCTATGTGTATGGTTTTGTTTTAGCGTTCCTGTGTTTTGAGCTACAATGCAACAAGATCCATGGGTTGGTATGCTGTTGCTTTGCAAATCGAAGACTTCCAGAAGTCTACTGATACAGCTCCTTTCAGCAGTGTTTCTTTGCAGTTTTTGATCTTCGTTGCTAATTCAAGCACATCATGTGAATCGAGACCAGTTCTACCACAGAATATAATAACTGATGGTTCGATTCATCATAGTTCTGTCTACAAGATTTTTAATGAGTCGATTATTGCTAGGAGTGGTGAGGCAACGTTAAGGTAGGAAAGACTTTCGAAGCTTTACATGTAGCAGCTTAAGATATGGAACATTTTATTCCAAATATGTGCATCTTGCGTTTGGGTAAAATATTATATTTGGGGGAATTCAGTGAATACGACGATCTTAAGATGGTCTGTAATATACTCTTGATGATTGCAACCTCGTGTAGACTTCAGTTTGAAAACAGCATAAAATTTTTAAAAAAACCTAACATAGAAATTGTTAAATTTCTTTGAAAAATCTTAATTACTTCCGATTGGTTTGATTTTTTGCGGATCGACTATTTATTTTCATCCGTTGATAAGCAGACTTATTTTTAATTAATTTGCACTTTTGTACCAATTGGTTCCTGCATTTTGTGTTGCAGAATATTCATTTTTATCCTGTATTTTGCAAGGTTTTTTATTTTCAGCTTTAACCAGACCAGGATATTCATTTTAAAAATTATCCTAGATATTCATAGTTTTATTAAGTACAAAATTCGTTTCCAAGACACAATACATTTTACTTAGTCATGACTATATGTATATATCAGGTAAAATGCATATTTTTTTTCCAATTAAAACGCTTATTCGATCTTTCAAATCATTCGTTGAAAACCAAATTCATTGGTAGCGTATATCATGTATGTCAAGCAGAAATTCGATCAACAAACGATAATCGAAAGCTTATGATAGTTTATGTTAATTATTTCCTATAATATTTTTCATTTTTCATTTATTCCATGTTATTAGAGTTACAGCAATTGACACGGTTTCTCCAATAGGAATGATTAAATCAGAATTATTTCCATATGGAACGTCTGGAAGAGAATGGTTTGTAACCGTGACTTGGGAACCAATGAAAAGCCAGCTAGGCGCCCATTTGTTTTGTTACACTGCGGTTGATAATCTAGGGTATGAATCTTTTTGCGGTATTATGGTGAGGTTTAAATTAAACTAGTAGTGTAAGACATCACTATATCCTCCAGTGAAAATAAAACATCAGCATTGACTATACATTCTTCCAATCGAAAGTTTTGGAGTATTTTTATTAGACAATTATTGAGTATTTATTTTACCATACAAGCTCCTCTAAATTCCTGAATTTTCATTATTCAACCTTTCTTTGGTTCCCTAGTTTTATTCTCTAGCTTAATTTCTTAAAATCATACTTTAATGCATGAAATTTTTTGTACTATTATTAGGTCTTTCCACTTTTCTGTGGAAAGACCTATTGTATTTGTTCTGATTTTTTTTTCTTCCGCCTAATTTTTTGTCTTTCGCTGTTTGGTTGTTTCGCAAGATGTCGATTTGACATTTGGTATATGAAATCGAACAGTTTATGTGCTTTCAAAATTGACACCGCTTAACCGATTACTTTTCTTTGTAAGAGTTATCTCCCCGAACACTGTTTTTCTTTTGTTTGCTACTCCTTCGCAACTGTTAAAGATAACGACAAAATTATATCACCAATTTGCTCGTTATATCCTCAGGATGTTGAGATTGGTTTGGACCGAAGCGTTCCGGAGACTCCATATGAGAGTTATTTCCCCTTATGCATTGGATATATGTGATATGCATTTGTTACTGGTAAACCATAAGTGAAAGGGAAATAGGATCTATTGATTTGAGGTCCTTGGTCCAAAAAAAAAAGAAAATTAGGTCAAGGTCAAAGGTCAAGGTCACATTCTAAATTTTGATTTTGGCTTATTTGCACTTTTCAAAAACCATATAAGATAACGACAACATATCTTTACTAAATTGTTAGTTGCGACATGTCATAACATATAAATTTTAGTTGAAAGTGTACGTTGACATATAAAAGCAGTTTTCTCCCCTCTTATATGTAAAATTATATATATGGGGATATAACTCGTTTACCATATCTAATAAAGACCTAAGGTATTTTGATTTGAGGTCCTTGGTTTATGACCATGAAATTAAGGTCAAGGTTAAAGTTGAATTTGACGTTCTAGATTTTGACCTTTGTCTTTACTTCATATTTATACGTGCTAAAGCCATAGGACTTTTTGCATTAGTTTGTGCAATATGACCTTGAAAAATCCAACAGGAATTGACCTTGTGTAAACCGGAAGTAGCTATTTTTTGGACTTATTTAATATCAAAGTATATAGAACCATATATTTTTGGAATCAGTGTCAAGTTAACTATCAAATTATACCGGAACTGACATTTTGCAAACCGGAAATCACAAATTATATCACTTATTTCAAACAAAAGTGTATAAAAACCATATATTTTTTTTAAATCAGCATACAATAAGCTATCATTTGACACTGGAAATGGCATTTTAAACCGGATTTTAATATTTTTGTATCAATATATATCGTTTCGGGTGGAAAGACCTTCAATTGTTCTCTGAACAATTGGTTTTTTTAATTATTATTTTTTTTTTTCTTCTTCCGCAACTTTTTTATCTTACGAAGCTTTTTCGTTTTGCAAGATGTCGCTTAGATTTTTTGCATATGATATCGAACAGTTATTGCGATTTTGAAACTGACCCTGTTTAACCGACCACTATTTATTGAAAGAGTTATCTCCCCAAACACTGTTTTTAATGTGTGCGGATCTCCTTCGCAACCGTAAAAGATTACGACAAAATTATTTAACCAATTTGCACGTTATATCCTAAGGATCTTAAAAATAATTTTGACCTAAGCGGTCTGGAGACTCCTTATGAGAGTTATTTCCCCTTGTGCATTTGATATAAGTGATATGCATTTGCAACTGGTAAACCATAGGTGATAGAGACCTAGGGTTTGTTGATTTGAGGTCCTTAGTCCAAAACAAAGAAAATAAGGTCAAGGTCTAAGGTCAAGGTCATGTTCTAAATTGTGATTTTGGCTTATTTTCACTTCGTTTCAGAAACCGTATAAGATATCAACAAATAATTTTAACTAAAATGTTAGTTGCGACATGTCGTAACACATAAAATTTAGTTGAATGGGTTCGTAGACATTAAATTGGAGTTTTAGCCCCTCATATATTTAGAATTATGCATTTAGTAATATAACTCATAAACCATATAAAATAAACCTAGGCTCTTTTGATTTGATGTCCTTGGTTTATGACCTCAAAATTCAGTTCAAGGTCAAATGTAAAAGTGACGTTCTAGATTATGACCTTTGCTATAGATTTTTTTTTATACATGATAAAAGCTTAGGATCTTTTGCATTAGGTAAGTAGACATATAACTTTGAAAATGTCAACCAGAAGTGACATTTTTAAAACCGGAAGTAGCAATTTATCTCCCTTATTCTAAGCAAAAGTATATAGAATCTATATATTTCTAGAATCAGAGTAAAGTAAGCTATATTTGACACCTGAAGTAACTTTGATTTAACCGGAAGTGGCCTATTATCTCCCTTAATTGATTAAAAAAGTTCATCAAACATTATATTTTCAAAATAAGTGAGTGATGAGCTATCATTTAAGCCCAGACATATTGTTTTTTATCAAAATTTTCTTACCTTAAGTTAATTTCAATGGAAAGATCTTCAATTGTTCTCTGAACAATTGGTTTTTAATAAAAAAAAATTATCTTCTTCCGGCACTTTTATTTCTTGCGTGTAACTTTTGTTTCGCAAGATGTCGCTTTGATGTTTGGTATATGCGCATTTGAAACTAACCCTGCTTAACCGTATACTTTTCTTTGTAAGAGTTATCTCCCCAAACACTGTTTTTCTTGTGGGTGCATCTCCTCTGTAATCGTAAAAGAAAGAGACAAATTTATTTTTTCCCAATTGCTCGTTATATCCCTGAGATGTTTTGTCCAATTTAAACCGAAGCCATACGAACACTCCATATGAGAGTTATTTCCCCTTCTGTACTTCACATAAGTGATATCTTAATGCATCACATCAATGGTAAGTGATAGAGACCTAAGTATTTTTACCTTAGGTCTTTGGTTCAAAAAAATGAATTTGAGGTCAAGGTCAAAGGTCAAGGTCATGTTCTCAATTTTGACTTTTCCTTGTTTTATGATCTGTTCTGACACTTTTAAAGATATATATTAAATAACTAGTGCAAAATGATTGCCTCATTGTGATGAAGATATGATACATTTGGTCGGAAACAATCCAATGAAATGTTATAGGAGTTACTGCCCCTGAAATGTTTTAATTTACGTTTAATTCATTATTCGGTACTGACATGATTTATAACAAACCTTTCTAAAATTGTCTGTTTATAAATTTTGAAATTATAAAGAAACTACGGTTTCAACTCCCTCAGGCAAAGTTGACCTTAGATGAATTTGGCTATTCTTTTTAGGTAGTTTTGTCATATAGCCCTTCAACTGTTTCGGTACTTATACATCCCTCGGATTTCAAATGTTTGGCTTTGAGCGTTCCTGATGAAGGTAAATCCAGAAAAGCGCTTCGGACGCATGAAATTATTAAACGTGTTGTTTTCAATTTTTTACATCACTGGGTCGATACCTCTGCTGGTGGACTATCAGTCCCCGAGGGTATCATCAGCTCAGTAGTCAGTACTTCGGTACTTCGGTACTGACATGATTTATAACAAACCTTTCAAAAATTGTCTGTTTATAAATTTTGATATTATAAAGAAACTAAGGTTTCAACTCCCTTAGGCAAAGTTGACCTTAGATGAATTTGGCTATTCGTTTTAGGTATTTTTGTCATATAGCTCTTCAACTGTTTCGGTACTTATACATCCCTCGGATTTCAAATGTTTGGCTTTGAGCGTTCCTGATGAAGATAAATCCAGAAAAGCGCTTCGGACGCATTAAATAATTAAACGTGTTGTTTTCAATTTTTTACATCACTGGGTCGATACCTCTGCTGGTGGACTATCAGTCCCCGAGGGTATCATCAGCTCAGTAGTCAGTACTTCGGTACTGACATGATTTATAACAAACCTTTCAAAAATTGTCTGTTTATAAATTTTGAAATTATAAAGAAAATAAGGTTTCAACTCCCTTAGGCAAAGTTGACCTTAGATGAATTTGGCTATTCGTTTTAGGTATTTTTGTCATATAGCTCTTCAACTGTTTCGGTACTTATACATCCCTCGGATTTCTGATGTTTGACTTTGAGCGTTCCTGATGAAGGTAAATCAAGAAAAGCGCTTCGGACGCATGCAATTATTAAACGTGTTGTTTTCAATTTTTTATTACTTCAACTTGGTACATGATAAAACCATACGGTCTTTTGCTAAATGTTGGTTGACACATAACCTTGACAAATGTCATCCGGAAGTGACCTTGAGTAAACCGGAAGAAGCCATATTTGTACTTATTTCATGGAAAAGTACCTAGATACTATTTTTTTTAAATGGGCATACATAAACCCTATCATTTGTGTCCGTAAGTGACCTTTTATAAACCGGAAATAGTCAATTATCTCCCTCATAATAGGCAAAGTATATAGAAACCGTATATTTTTGTAATCAGTGTAAATACAGCTATTATGTGAGATCGGAAGTGACATTTTCTAAACCGGAAGTTGGCAATTATCTCCCTTATTTCAGGCAAAAATATATAGAAACATATATTTATTGAAACAGTATGAAGAAACCTATGCTTGGACGCCAATAGTAATTTTTGGTAAACCGGAAGTAGCTTCTCATCACTCATTTCATAAATTGATGTGGAAAGACCTTCAATTGTTCTCTGAAGAATTGGTTTTTAATTTTTCATTTCATTCAGTAAATAATCAGACACTAGATACATGAATTTTAAAAGACGTCTTGATAAGGAATAATTCTTATGATGTTTATACGAAACATATTGCTCCAAAGTATGTAATATTTTCGACAAGCGTAGAAGTATACTGCATGTTGTAAATTACTATGTTCTGATATTTTTTTATGTACTAATTGTAAATTCTGATATTGTTGCAATTCAAATTTCAAATTTTCTATTTCAGTCAAGCCTCAGATCAAACATGCGCTACACTCGTGGTAGACGAAGAAGTGGCTGATACACCGGAACCCGATAATTTGATTGTTCTAAATTCTGAGTGCAATGCCTTCAAAACACCGGAAAGTAAGTTTATTTTTGTTCTTGGAAAGATGATCTCAGGGAATGTTTTGAACTGTATCTGGATTCGTTTCTGTCAATTATTTTGTTTATCCAACTTTCAGCATAATGGGAAATGTATCCTATTAAAATTTGTATACTTGTATGTTTAACGTCAGGAAAATTGAATTGTGTGATGAAGTGATCCTGTGCTATATAAATTCCATGCAAATATAACCATATGTGATTTATGTTGACATACAAACTCCTGTAAATTCCTAAATTTTCTTTTTTTATTTCTCTTTGGCTGTTGTTTTCGGACCCGTTTGTACACAAAAAAACAAATTATAAATACATCTTAAAAGTGTATAAAACAATACCAATTTTAACTAAAGGAAATAAAAGAATCAATAAATATTTCATATATCAGATATTTTTTATCAGTATGATCATGATGAGGTAAAATGAGTCATATCAATCAATTTTGTCAACTCTGACATTTTAGAATTATACCAGTTCAAATCGCACAGCTCTGTATACACACGCACTCTCTTGTAATTCTTTTACCTTCCTCAACTTTGAAATTGTAAAATTATACAGTTCAAATCGGACAGTGCTATTCATTAGCGATATATAGCTACGCTGTCTATGTTGTAATAACTAAACGATCGTCAACTCTGAAAATTTAGATTTATCCAGTACATATCGCACATTACTATTCTTTTTGGATTCATATCTATTCAGTCTATGTTGAAAATACTTATCCAGCGTCAGCTTTGAAATTTTGGAATTATACTAGCTTGGTTTGGTTTTCAATTTGTATTACGTTAAAGATTGTTTTAGAAGAGTAGAATAGATTGATGTGATTCATTTTACATCATCACGATCATACCGATGAAGATATCTGCTATCCAATATATTTATTGATACATATATGAAAACTTTTAGCAAAAGATAAATTGGATCGAGGTTCTAGCTGTGTATTCACATTATTTGTACAACTCTCCTTACTTGGGAAGCGTGTGCTTTACATCGAGGCTTGCGTTGCTTTACATCGACGCCATAGTAGTTCAACCAATCGGGGAATGTTTATTTGGGGAATACATCTATTTTTACTGCAGGTTTTGGCATATTTTAATCGAAAGTAGAGTAAAATGGAATGATGTTAGGAGATACAAAACAGAAAATGATAAATACTTTTAGCAAAAGATGAATTGGATCGGGGTTCTGTGTATTCACATTATTTGTACAACTCTCCTTACTGATGGCAAAAAATGGAATTTCCGTGACCTAAATGGTTCGCGAAAATTAATATTTTTATATATAGTATAGTAATTAACTGTTTACCTTTTTTAATATTGGTGTTGTTTTGTTCACTATTTATGCGGATATATATATACTGTGTATGTAACAGATAAGTACTATTGGGAAAGCTTTCATGACAAGAAAAAATATCGCTATCCCAGTGAAACGTCCTCTTTAGTAGATTGTATTTGGTGTAGTTGTTAGATTCTCTGTCTTTGCATGCTGTTCGAATGATTGTCGAAGTACGTATACAATGGCCGTAAGTTCGTCTCTCGAGAGATGACTTAAAAATCAATGTGTGTGTACAGACGATTTTAAGAATGGAAATTACAATGACATTGTTTGGTTAAACTATATATAGATATATAGATAATTAGATATTAGATAATGTGGACCTCTTTGTGCAATTCATTGAGTTGCTTTATATAAACAGGTTCAAGTTTGAGTCAAGCTGGTTAGATTTAGGATAATGGTTTTCAAAATTAATTGTAAGGTAATTTCGAATATTATTCCTGGATTGAAAATAAAGTAAGATATGTTCCTCGTCGTTTAGAATACAACAACAAAACACAATCTATGTCAGGTAATCTGAGTTGCTTCTGGAAATAAAACAAGATTATGCTCAATTAGTGATGTCCTTCGTATTGCTTATAGCAAGTACAAATTCGATGACAATGCACACTCGCTAATTTGGTTAAATTTTATAACTCACGTAGAAAAAAATATGTCACTATGCAAATTTGAAGGATTTGAGTGGCGCCGATAATTAAAAAAAACACACAGTATGCAAATTAAACAAGAGTGCAAACGACAAAATATGTCGCCTGTTTTGCTGATATTCAGGTTGAATTTCCTGTTGAAAGTCTTGAATATCAAGGTATTACAAAAGGTATCACATACACTTAACATTACCAATATCCATTAAAATTAGGTCAGGTCACACGAACACGATTACATTGCAATCATTACATTTATAAATAGATTTGACCTATTGCTATAGTTTCTAACAAGGAAAATTTTGAACAATTACTAGTTACCAGGAAAAATTATGTCGATTTCAGATTGACCCTGCGATGCGGACAAGTACACTTCACAATCTTTTCATACACCAAATAAAGTTGATCTGTTTCTTTTAGTTTCTGAGAAACGGACTAAGACAACAAAATGTTAACGTTGATCGGAAACTAGAACATAAAGAATTTGAAATCAAAGTTTAAAATATCCAGTTCTTCTGCTTTTAGAAAAAGAAGCTTTATACAAATAGTTTATACCACTAAACTAACATTCCTATACTAGTATCTCACATGTGTTGCAGGTAAGAAAAAACTAAATGCTCTAGCCAATTGCAGTTTTAATGTATGTTGTTGGATTTGAACTTCTATTGCATCGATTATTCAATACTCTAACAGTATGTATGTTATAAGAGTAAACCACTAGCGACACATGGTCATATATAATTGATGTGCCCTTTTCGTTCCTTGGCATAAGCTGTTAAAAACTAGAAAAAAACGATTTAAACTCTGTATAGTACACAGCAAAAACCCTTTCAAAATTACTAGATGACCTGAAATTAATTTCCAAAATTTGCATATCGTAAATCAAATTTATTGTTATATTTTGAAATTGTATAGTGCTTTTGATATATGAAATTTTATTTATAATTTTAAATTTAGAAGTACATACTAAGTGCATTGAAGCGACAACAGGCGTCCCCCAATCATTTTACCTGGCAACCAGCTGCTCCAGTAATTTCGTTCAGTGTAACGAGCTTGGAACTGGATATATAATGCGCTGTGTACCCGGAACTGAATGGTGCCAGCATGTTTTAACATGTGTACACGTAGGATCTTGTAACACTGAAGGGTGGGTATTCTTTTCTTCATAGTAATTGTTCTTTTAAGGATTAAAAGTTCTAAAGTAAAATATATAGAATTAAATTAATTGTATAGGTGTGATATAAATTGCCGTACATTTTATTTCTGTTTATTGCCTGCGACAATTATAGAGGGAGACAGACAGAGGGAGAAAATGTTTACAGTATTCTTTTTGTACATGAAGCCATAATATATTTCGATGTCCTTAAACACCAACAAAAACAGTAATAATTAAGGGAGATAGATATATAAATCAACCACATTGATTTTTGCTTATTGTTTGCTTAACGTCGTCAAATGGCAAGTATTAATGAATATTTAGGACGAGAACATATTAACAATAATGAAATTAGACTAAACCGACTTGAAAAAATTGGCGACCATTTCGACTGTCACCGGAAATGAGGGTGTGTTGAATATGGGCATCAATTCGCCTTGCCTTCCGGACTCCCCAAAGAGATTGTTGCAAGAGTTTTTAAAGTGATAAAAGCTTGGTACTCTCCCTACACGCGGTATTTGATGAAACTTCATCATTCTTCAATCTCTATCATTTTGATATAATGTTGAAGGCATGAGAAATGCTTTTCATAACACGTATCACTAGTTGAACAGGAATTAGTTTATTTGTATTTGGTTGCTGAGGACGGTCAACAATAAAACAAACATGTATTGCTATCCTAGAAGATTTTTTCCCTTAAGAACTAAAAGAAGTATCTAACAGTCAATATATTTGATGTAGATTTAGAGGATATATAAGTAACTATTCAAACAGTTTCATACTGAATATAAAATACATACAAATAACAGTGAATATTTTTATTCTCTTTCAGATAACGAGGAAGACTAATCAATATGTTCGGATTCCATTTAGTTTTTGTCAAAATTCATATGTGTTTATCCTTGACCTACATGTATCTAATGAACATTATATATCATTATTAGACAGATAAAATCATCAACGCGTGTGTCTTTTTTTTTTTCCTAACCTAACAGATTAAGCGCGTCTCAACTACATATTCAGATTTCATTGAACTATATGTATAATGTTTTTGCTATTTTATATATATGTTCATTGACCAAATTCAATTCAGGTCATAAATATATTCATTTTCCTACTGTATGATTCTAACACAACAAGTTTAAACTGCATATTATTATAAATTTGTTTTCCGTTTTGAATGTCTATAATTATTTCTATAAATATAGTTTTGAGATTTAATGTATCAACATGTATATTGTTGACGTTATGATGAAATTCTCTATGATTTACTCACAAGCACAAGGTATATATTGTAAATAACTATTTAACACGAATAAGAGTTAAGGGATAACATTTTTCATATATGCAAATGACTGATATGAACTGATCGCGAATGTTAAGTTTTGCTTTCAGGAAACAATTAAACAAAATCATGAAGAATGAACGGAAATTAGAAAGAAAACTAATTTGTATACTGATTATACAAGTTCAGGCGTCTTTGCACATTACAGAACGCAGTGAAAATATACCATAATTCTTATGAAACGCAAAATTAAGTTATCGTTGAAAATATTTTCAATTTCAAACTAGGGAAATATCACGGCCATGCATGTTGTCTTAAATCAATGGGAAATACGTATCAAGCAAGGACTGACTTATAGATTTTTCCTGTCGAGAATATATTACTTCGTGTCTTACAGACTATGTATATATTTTGTATACTCAGAATGTTCCTTTCTAGAAAAAAAAACTTGTATTTAAAAAAAAATTATTCAAGACTTTCTTTTCATTACATTTAGTGCTTTTGTTTATATATACGAATAAAGACTTCTTTTGGTATATATTTATCAATATAACTTGTTTTATTTTATCAATTAAGCTCATGATATATGCAGGATTAAATGACAGATCGAAACCAGGTTAATTACATTTAAAAACGTAATACCATTTGTGCACAAAAACACAATACCGTTTGTGCGCTCAAACGTAATATATGTCAAATTTTATAATCGCGCAAAAGTAGGACGCCAATCAATGAGACAGTAAACAAGCAACACAATAATGGGAAATTAATATCTAGAAGTCACTCTTCAAATTTGGTTGGATGTCTTTATTAAATTGACAATTAAATGCTTCTTTTTATAAATTTATTAAGTGTGTAGTCCGAATCACATTTTGTATGAAGCTTATCCGCTTTCAAAATGTGCGCACGATCAAAAGTTACAATTTGGTTACATATGCCTTATTCGTTACTTATTCTCAAATCCTTATTCATAGCTTAATCCTTATTCCTTATTCGTTACTGAATCCTTATTCGTTACTGAATCCCTATTCGTTACTTATTCATAATTCCATATTCGGTATTTTTTTGACTTTTTATTAAATTCTTTTCGAAATTTTAACGACTTCTTTAGATATTTATAGATAGCGTATGCTTTTTCATAGTGATACCCGCCCTGTGTGGGTATGATGATTACTACGAAAATGGTTATAACAGTAATCTGGCTTAATATCTTTTAGAGTCCTTACGATTCCCATTGTGGATCCAATGGTGCGTAGATGGCGTATCCTCCTTATATAATTGCCAAACAAAAATTCAATTTATTCACGACTTATATGATATTTTAACAGAAATTTTATATATATTTCGTTTTCAGCAATTACTTCCCCCTTTCAAAAATCCTAGATCCAATTACTTCTCCCCGTTTAAAAACCCTGGATCGGTCCCTGGTTCCTTTGTTTTTAATTAAAACTTGCGAAAAGTACACACATTAGACATGCAAGGAAATAACGCCACTCAATTTTAAATTTGATAATATATATCAAATACAAAAATAAATTGATGCTGTATGCTATTAAATGTAAATCCGGAATCTAATTATACGATGGTATTTATCTATTCCTTTTCAGTTAAACATTTATAGTAGTGACTGTCTATTTCAAATCTTGATATTGGAACTTCATATGGTGATATCCCTACCAATATTATTTATAAAGTGGATTTCTTTTTCTATTCTATTGTTGATTTTTATTTCCGAGATGTTCCATTGTCATCTAATGAAATGCCTATATTACGGGAATATTGTTTATTAGCTTATAGGAATTATCTTCTTTATGCTTTCCTCCTTCAACCCAAACAAACAACCAGAGGTTTAACATTCACTTGAATGAATCAGCGAGTATCTCATGTATATAACATATATTGGTCCATTTGGGCAATGCATAAATGAAACGAGAAACTAAAAGGAGAATTGCAATAGTTTTACTTATTCAGAGTAAAAATGTTTCTCATACAAGAATAAACAATATATATATATACATATACAAGTCTAAATTGAAAACAACGTTCGAACCTATGATTGCGTTGGATAAAACCGCAATTTTTATACGTGTGCATGCAAAACAAATTTCTTGGTAGAGGGGTCTAAATACAGCACAAACAACATTTTCCAAAAGACCAAAAAAATGAAAAAGTATATTTTAACAAAACGCATTTGACTAGTAGGTCGAACAACGGATGTTCTTAAACCCTGCTGACTGCCATTGGCGATTGCCAAATAAACGGATCACCAGATGTAACGAAATGGATCTTAACTATTAATTTAATACCAAACAGAAAACAATAGACTTGCGGTAAAAATGGTATACCGCAAACAAAAGGTGCAAAAATTAGTACACCATATCCGGATTCGGACAATTAATGTCTCTTCAGTGATGTTAGGAATCGAAATGGTATTTGGAAGGCCATATAATTTACCTCAATTTAGGATAGACTCTTTAATTTTGAAGAGTCGAAATAGGATGAACGGATCATATAAACCCGAAGGCGAATATAATACAAGCCCAAACAAAAAAATATAAACAAGTCTAAATTGAAAACAACGTTCAAACCTATGATTGCGTTGGATAAAAACCGCAATTTGTATACGTGTGCATGCAAAACAAATTTCTTGGTAGAGGGGTCTAAATACAGCACAAACAACATTTTCCAAAAGACCAAAAAAAAGTGAAAAAGTATATTTTAACAAAACGCATTTGACTAGCAGGTCGAACAACGGATGTTCTTAAACCCTGCTAACTGCCTTTGGCGATTGTCAATTAAACGGATCACCAGATGTAACGTAATGGATCTTAACTATTAATTTAATACGAAACAGAAAACAATAAACTTGCGGAAAAAATGGTATACCGCAAACAAAAGGTGCAAAAATTAGTACACCATATCCGGATTTCGACAATTAATATATATATACATATACATTTTTCCAACAAGATAATTACAGAGACATATAATGTATTATATGTGAAGATTAATATGGTTATTGTTTAATTGAAATAATATCTTCTTGAGTTTTGGAAATTATTTCAAATAACGGAATAAATCTCTCTCATGCAAAGCTATGATTCCTTGTCCGGATTTGGTTATACTTTAGGTCCTTTTTAGTTTGATCATCTCTTGAAAGTTTGTAAAAGTTGTGTATGCCCCCGTATTAAGCATTACTCTTGTCCTTCCGTCCTTCCGTACGTCCCGAAATTGGTCCCGTTCAATTAATTATAGTAAGTTTACCTCAACCAAATGTTATAAACTTATATACAATGATTATTATCACAAAAAACAGATCAAGTTCGAATTTGGGTGGTGTCATTTTACCGTTCTCGTAGTATGCCCCTTTATAAAGTGATATGCGGGCGGGGAATCATATGTGACCAAAAGACACAATCTTCATTTAGTTTTAAATATTTTGGCATCGAGATTAACCGAAGAGACAATAATTATCGATGGATTGCTGTTTTATTACCGTACACTTCAGAGTTCCTTTCATTCATAATGTGCATCTATTTCTGTCATTTGAACATGCATTTTTATATGCTCCCTCATAAGCAAAGAATTCTGATTTGTACATAACTTAACAAAAAATACAAAAATGCATATGTTCTCATACTTCGCCAAACTCAAACAATGTTACTATATGAAGCACATGTACATCTAACCCCAAGATAAA